TATGGTACAAACTTGCAATGAACTGTCTTCATAAAGCTTAAACGAGGATAAACTTCATAAACAATATATTTCATCCGAACAATTTAAATTATTAAATGTAACTGTTACCTTTTAAATAAACTCTCTTACGTCAAATCGACTGAATCGGGAAACATATATTAAGTGTTTAGTGCAGGTAAAAACAAGTACAAGATTAGAATCAAATATAGAATTTAAGCTAACAAAAACAAGATATCCAAAACAAGTCTACGTTGTATTAGGCCTGTATTGAAAAAGATGTAATCTTTTCCAAAATTCGGCCAAATTCGGCCAAATATAGTTTGGCCGTGACTTTTCAAATGCTACGGCCAGGCAAATTTTATACGGCCAGATTTGAGGAATCTGGCCGTCAAAAAGGCCAAATGGCAACCCTGGTAGATAACGACGAGGTTCAATTACCGAATATGAGCATGCGCAGTAAACCTTCTTATGCTTGTGTGTGACGAAAAAGCATGGCAACTAGAGAGAGTGTCAGTTATCAACTACACGCTAGCGTCAAACCGATACAACAAATATGCCCCTATATCATTTCCCTGCTACGAAAACATGTTCAGTTTGAACTCAAATTACGTTAGAAAATGAGACATAAAGAAAATGATAGTTAACAAGTTGCATAAACTATTTGTCCTAGTTATAAAATGGAGATACTTGCGGAAAATATAAAATATAAGCTTTAAAACTTATCAAAAACCCATGAAAATTACAAATGACGGTGTACGAACAAACACATATAGCTCTACTTCAAATACTCGTAACTTTTTAACGAAAAGGCGAATTTGTATGCGGTTTTTTGTAAATTATTCTTCGTAAAACTCTCTTGAGATGCAAATTTATTGAACAGCGAAAATTGAATAAAAAAAAAACTCTGCGCATGCTCTACTGGTCGTTTGTCACGAAATTATTTTCTCTACAAAGACAAAATTTTAACAACTGGGGGCGCAAGATCGTCGGAAAAGTACCCTATTGACAGAAGACAGGCAGTTAGTCATGGTTCTCTTTGAAGATTCAGTACACCGCGCTTCGCTCATTGGCTGTAGATAAGTAGATAAATGTGTTGTGACTCCCTCTAAATAACAACTCCCTGATATAACAACACCTGCAGTAGTGGTGCCCATAATGCAGTTGCGGTGCCCATCTAAGGATGCAGCAGCGGTGCCCATAACTGCAATAGTGGTGCCCATCTAAGATTAACGTATAAAATACAATAAAGACCGGCCCGCGATTTTTTTTTCCTGGACGTTTGAGGCTGTGGAGATTGGTGGCGCTATAGATTCAACAACGTAACCCCTCCTTGAGGCAATGAATATTTATCCTGCAGCTGTTTGCACGTCGTGCCTAGTAACGAAGAATTCGTCAAGAAAATTTCTCATTCTATGAGAAATAATCTGTATTTATATTTTTTTTTTATTCTTTTGCGTAAAACTAAAATTCCAATGCCAATATTTTTTTTTTTTTTTTTTTTATAATAATTAGAGTAATTCATATGCATCTTTTCGAAAAAAAAAAGAAGGGCGCCCTATACGTCTGGGCGAGTATAGAAAACTTGCATTACAAAAAGAGAAGGGCGCCGCGTACGTCTGGATTAATTTCCGCCTCATTTTTGCTATGCGAGTGCTCTATCTTGTATTTCTAGTATCTTGATTGCACTGAATGAAACAGTGGTGGGTACGTTTTTTTGCAAGTCTCGGAGCAACTGCTCACATCATCTAGGGCTGAATCAAATTATCCAAAAGCAGAATTTAACATAAAACATGCACTTAGTATAAATATCAGTGTCGTAGATGGAATTAGAAGACCTTTCCTGCTGCCAAATTGAGTCAATTTTATTTTTCTTGGCAATAAACTTTCTACCCTTCTCTTCCTTGTCATTTGTCAACCATTGCGTAGTCCCACTTTGGAAAAAAAAAAAAAAAAAAAAACAATGAAGCATAACAAAGATTTGCCAGAAAGCTACTTTGATATATTTGCGGACGGGTAAGGATTTGAATATGACTCTAACTTCACTGAATCTTGAAAGAAAACTGATAAAGTATACTTTTCTACAATAAGTAGTATATTAATGGCCTTTTTTTACGGCCATATTCCTCAAATCTGTCCGTATAAAATTCGTTTGAAAAGTCACGGCCAAATTATATTTGGCCGACTATTGTGAAAAGTTTACATTTTTTTCAATATAGCCTAATTTGCCTAATATAACGTAGACTTGTTTTGGATATGTTGTTTTGTACAAAAGCTTTGATTCTAATCGTGTAAATTTACTTACATTGAACGTTCGTAATCGTACTCCGGGTCGTACTCGCGCTAAACACTTAATGTATTTCCCCTTTGGCCGAGTTGACGTAAGAGAGTTTATTTTAAAAATTAGTAGTTACATTTAATAATTTAAAATGTTCGGATGAAATTAATATTTTTTATGAAGTTTATCCTCGTTTAAAACTTTATGAAGACAATTTATTGTTTTAGCCATAATGTGTTCTTTAATGTTCGAACCTAGTGGAGGTTTCTATCTCTTTTGTTTGAGAATTTAATAAAATAAAATTGTACAGGCGAAAATAGTCCAGGGTCTAATAAATGTGCAAAATACTAAAAAACAAATTTTCTTCTCTCCGACGAATTGTGGTTTTTCTCCCCGACCGGGGTGGGGGGGGGGGGGGGGGCTGCTCTCCTCGATTTTTTGAATTTTAAATGAATATTATGTACCCAATGTTCTTCTAAACATCTAAACATCTTCTAATCAAATTAAAATCTGGCCGAATTTTGGCCGATATCGAAAAAAGGTTTGGCCGAATTTGGCCGGCCGTGAGATGGCGTGTTTGGCTGTGAAGCCTGTCGACTGTCTGGCAACCCTGTGCTGGATGGATCTGCTGGAATTCTAAGGAGCCTAGTAGTAGGGGCTCGTCTGTGTTTGTTTATGGTTTATGCTAGCTAAATGTTTCCAACAGATAAATAGTATGCCAGGTAACAAGTAATAATATGTTGTCGTGCACACGTTTAAAGATTCTATTTAGGACTTAATTACAAATATCAAAAATAGCCAGACCCCTTACTTGCAGCTCTGTGTCGATGGTTCCAGGTGGCGGGATGCGATTTTTTTTTCCGTACGAAACATTTGTATGAAACTTCACTCGGGCCATCTCGGATTGACTCGAGTGAGTACGATACGAGGAACAAGAGCAGACACTTCGCAGTGTCGTGACGCTCGAGTTTTACT